AGTGATGTACACTGTCAGATGGGATTCCAAGGGTCTAGAGATCCCTCTCAGGAAGCTCTTGGAGAAGGACATTCAGGAGATGGGAAGATACCCCAAAAGACAAGTGGTGAGCCCAGGCTTCTTCTTCCCACAGGGGAGGAGCTGAATACACAGTAATTGTATGTTCCAACTTCTTTTCAAGCTTCTAGATGCTCACCGGATTATCACAGACAAATCCTTTGTTTTGCCCAACCCCACTGAATGGTATAACAGCAATATCTACCACCAGGTAAGTCTCTGATGGACTGAAAAGGAATTGGAGAAAGGAATATGGTGGTGATCTCAGATTCCTTCCAAAACTTAGGGGTTTACAAGCAGCAGCAGCAGCCATTTTTATTAATTTTTTCTCCCAGTCCTGGGGCTTGAACTCAGGGCCTGGGTGCTGTCCCTGAGCTTCTTTTTTGCTCAAGGCTAGCACTTTACCACTTGAGCTACAGCACCACTTCTGGCTTTTTTCTGAGTAGTTTATTGGATGTAAGAGTCTCATAGACTTTCCTGCCCAGGCTGGCTTCAAACCATGATCCTCAGATCTCAGCCTGCTGAGTAGCTAGCATGAGTCATTAGCCACCGGTGCCTGGCACATTCTGGATATTTTTCTATCAGCTGTTGCTCCTGGTGTATGGGGGAAATTTCTGATCTGATCCTCAGCTTCAGAGCTGGGATCAAGTCCTGCTCCTGAGGACCAACTAGAGATGTGAAGATAAAATTATCCACGTGGACATTGGAAAAAAAAATAGGATGGTACCTGGAGCCACACCCCCATCCTTAAGAAACACTGATTCTTGTTTATTTCATTTTTATTTTTATTTATTTATTTTTGGGTCTGGTCGTGGGGCTTGAACTCTGGGCCTGGGCGCTGTCCCTCAGCTCTTCAGCTCAAGGCTAGCGCTCTACCACTTGAGCCACAGCGCCACTGCCGGCTTTTTTTCTTTTTGCTTATGTGGTGCTGAGGAATCGAACCCAGGGCCTCAGGCATGCAAGGCAAGCGCTCTACCACTGAGCCAACTTCCCAGCTAAACTGAATATTTTGCCAAAACTGCTTCAGACCTTTGAGTTTGTGTGTGTGTGTGTGTGTGTGTATGTGTGTGTGTGCGCGCGCGCGCATGCGCGCACACATTGACATGTGCACCAGTACTGGGTCTTAAACTTAAGGCTTTGTGTTTTTGCTTGTTTTTTTCATGCAAGGTTGGTGCTCTCCCACTTGAGCCATGCCTCCACTTCCTGCTTTTTTGGGGGGGAGGTGGTTAATTGGAGTTAAGAGTCTCATGGATAAGTCAGGCGCAGGTGGCTCATGCCTGTAATCCTAGCTAGTCAGGAGCCTGAGATCTCAGGATCATGGTTCAAAGCCAGCCCAGGGAAGAAAAGTCCCCATGAGACTCATCTCCAATTAGCCACTCAAAAACAAGTGGCACTGTGGCTCTAAGTGATAGAGAGCTAGTCTTGAGCAAAAGAGCTCCAAGATAGCTCCCGGGCCCTGGGTTCAAACCCCATGACTAACAAAAAAAAAGAGAGACTTTATGAAGACATGGATTTTTCTACCCAGGCTGGATTTAAACCCTAATTCTCAGCTTCCTGACTAGCTAGGATTATAGGCCAGGAGCACCATTGCCCAACTAGGGAATACATTTACCCATGCTGGCTTTGAATGGTGATTCTCAGATCTCAGAATCCAGAGTAGCTTGGATTACAGGTGAGGACACCAGGTGCCCAGCAAAGTAATATATATATATATCATATTATATGTAAAAAATATATGTATATATATATATATATAGAGAGAGAGAGAGAGAGAGAGAGAGAGTAATGGTGCTTGAACTCTGGCCTGGGTGCTATTCCTGAGCTCTTCAGCTCAAGGCAAGCACTCTACCACATTGACCCACATAGCCACTTCCAGTTTTCTGGTGGTTAATTGGAGATAAGGGTCTCATGGACTTTCCTGCCTGAGCTGGCTTTGAACTGTGATCATCAGATCTCAGCTTCCTGAGAAGCTAGGATTATAGGCGTGAGCCATCAGCACCCAGCTAAGGAATATATTTGCTAGTCCTAGGGCTTGAATTTAGGGGCTGGGCACAATCCCTGAGTTTCTTTTGCTCAAGGCTAGCACTCTACCACTTGAGCCACAGCACCACTTCCAGCTTTTTCTGTGTATGTGGTACTGAGGAATCAAACCCAGGGCTTTATGCATGCTAGGCAAGCACTCTACCACTGAGACACATTCCTAGCCCCTAAGGAATATATTATCCATGTTCCTGGATAGAATTTGTGCAGCCCAATCTACCCTCTGGCTATGGAAGGAGGGCTGAGTTAGAGCTCATTTACCTGCAAGACCTGCCCTCCCCGTGTAGTATAGGTGGCAGCTGCTACCCCCTGGGGCTGATGTATGGATGGGCAGGCAGGCCCCTTGCTCTGTCTCCCTCCAGCCATCTTGGGAGCTTGACATCCGATCTTCCTGCCCTTCCTGGGAGGGGACTGAGCTCATGCCTAGTACATACTTAGGCCTTGGATTTCATAGCTAGCAATGGAAACATAATTTTTTTTTTAAATCAGTCTGGCAGTGGATTAGGGCAGGACCATTATCATCCCCCCAAAACCCTCAAAGAATTGTTGTTGCTGTCCCTGCTCATGCTGGCCTGGCTAGGGGACCTGGAATGAAGTAGGCAGGAGCACTCTGGGTGACATTTGATAGTCCTCAGGGGATTTGGCTCTAGCCTGGAGATGGAATACAGAAAGAATGTAAGGGACAGCCAGGCGCTGGTGGCTCATGCCTATAATCCTAGCTACTCAGGAGGCTGAGATCTGAGGATCATGGTTCAAAGCTAGCCTAGGCAGGAAAGTCCATGAGACTCTTATCTCTCCAATAAAAGCCACCAGAAAACCAGAAGTGGTAATGTGGCTCAAGTAGTAGAGAGTCTGTCTGCCTTGAGCTGAAGAACTGAGGGACAGCGCCCAGGCCGAGTTCAAGTCCCATGACTGACAAAAAACAAAAAAAACAAAAAAACAAAGAGTGTAAGGGACAGACCAGCCCATGCCATTCCAGGTCCCATGTTTGCACTACTGAAAAAAGGGTTCAGCAGGGTTGCTTGGTTTTGTTTCATAATTAGACTGCTTTTCATAACTAGAGGTTTGGGATTAGGTTTCCTTCCTAACCCCAAATCCCTAGTCACAAATATCCTTATCTTCCTAGTAATATTGCTCTTGTTAATGATATTGCTCCAGGGCTGGGAAGGTGGCTCAGTGGTAGAGCACTTGCCTTGCATGCATGAGGCCCTGGGTTCAACTCCTCAGCACCTCATAAGCAAAAAGAAAAAAGCCGGAAGTGGCGCTGTGGCTCAAGTGGTAGAGTGCTAGCCTTGAGCTGAAGAGCTGAGGGACAGCGCCCAGGCCCAGAGTTCAGGCCCAACGACCGGACCCCCCCCCCAAAAAAAAATGATATTGCTCCCTTAAGCCAAGCAAGCCTGCTATCCTAGGAAATCAGAGGCTGAGATCTGAGGATCACAGTTGAAAGCAAGCCTGGGCAGGAAAGTCTGTGAGTGGGACTTTTATCTCTAATCAACCAGCGGCAGCAGTAGGAGGATCTGTGTCTGAAGATGGTCCAGACCAAAAAAAGATGAGAGTCTATCTGAGAAACAAGGGCTGGGAGTGTGGTTCAAGTGCAATTCAATCCCCGAAGCAAAGGGGAAAAAATAAAAGAACAATCAGGAATCATTGGTATTAAAGTCACTTTAAGATTAAGAGGATCTGGGGCTGGGAAGGTGGCTCAGTGGTAGAGCGCTTGCCTTGCATGCATGAGGCCCTGGGTTCCATTCCTCAGCACCACATACACTGAAAAAGCTGGAAGTGGGTGCTATGGCTCAAGTGGTGGTGCTAGCCTTGAGCTGAAGAGCTCAGAACAGTGCCTAGGCCCAGAATTCAAGCTCCACGACCAGCAAAAAAAAAAAAAAAATTAAGAGGATCTATCATGGACAATGTTACAAATGAGTTCTATAAATGAACATCTTCCAATATAAATTGTGTAATTGAGTCATTCATTACTTTGGACTTGAAACATGAATAAAAGAGGTTTTCACTGAGTAAATGTTTAAAAGACTGTGAGTGGTTTAATTTATCGTAAACGTTAAGTGCTTAGGCTGGTTTTTGCTTGGGAGAAATTTCTGAGGCGCTTCTAGAAGAAAATTGAACAGTTTCAATTTTGTGAAAGCAGAACATTTCAGGGAGTTTAATTAATTAAGCCGCGAAGTGAGACTTAAAGCTGTTGAAACTGGAGTTGGCTGAACATTAATCAAAGAATCCCCTGAAAGTAGCTGCTGAAATTTCCTAGGTTTATTAATAGAATTAATACTTAGAAGCAGAACCTGAAAGAATAGAGTACAAGAAAAATGATTACTATTATTAGCCAGGGGGCCAAGTGGCTCACACCTGTAATCCCAGCTACTCAGGAGGGGCTTGAGATCTGAGGACCTAGGGTTCAAAGCCAGCAGGGACAGGAACCTGTGTGAGATCCTTATCTTCCAATTAACCAGCAAAAAAAAAAAAAAAAACCCGAAACAAAACAAAAAAACAGAAGCAGAGCTGTGGCTCAAGTGGTAGAGCACCAGCCTTGAACAACTTCAACAACAACAAAAATAACGCAGGGACAGTGCCCAGGCCCTGAGTTTCAAATCAGACCTAGGGAGGACTCACAGCTGAGCCACTGATTGAAGTTAGGCAATTTGAGGTGACAAAGAGAGACTTGAGGGAGGGAGGTGTAGAGGGGGGGGGAAACCGGTCCAGGGCAAGGGGAGGGTCGTTAGGGGAAGGTGGGCCTCACCAGAGGAGGTGGCCAAGCATGTGCCCCAGGGTGGTGGGAGCCTCAGGAAGAACGCCAAGGATGGGAAAGTGGGCGTGGCGCTTGGAGACCACGCCCACAACACGCCCACCGCCGCCCGCCCAGAGCCTGCCCGGCCTCCACCCTCCCACCGCGTCCCGCAGCCTCCACACCCCCCCCCCCCCCCCTGCGCCGTCCTGCAGCCGCTAAGTCCCCGAGAGAGGCCCGGATACTCGGAGTCCCCCACCAATCCCGGATCTCGGGGCTCCCTGGGGCCCGGGCCGATTCCGGGGAGCCCTGCGATTGCCCCCCCCCGAGTACCATTGAGGGAAAGGATCTGAATCCGCCACCACCTCCGAGCAGGCCTCCAGGTGAGCCTCGAGTCCCCGGGTACCCCAGCACCCCTTCCCAGGGCCTTCCACAACCCAGAGCTCTCTAAAGTCCTTTGGAAAACTTCAAGTGTCATTCAAAGGGCTTTGCTAAAAGCAAAACGTGTTTTCTAAAGCCACCGGCCCCCTTTTCCAGGCCCTGGGGTGTATGTGTGTGTGGGAGAGAACCCCGAAACACACAAATCCAAATGCCCCAAACAACACGTGTTCAACTCGGAGCTGCTTTGTGTATTTCTTCTGGCTGGCAAGTTGCAAAAATCTTCCCTCCCAAGAGGGAAAGGGGGAGGGAGGAAAGGAAGAAGGGCGGGAGTGTGTGTGGAGGGAGGGTGGGGGGGGGGCCTCATCTGGGTTTAACAACTGTGGCCGCAACTCTTGGTTTAAATTCTGTTTTTCAAAGTCACCATTGTAACATTCAGGAAAATGTTTTAAAATGTTTTCCGGCTTGTTCCTTCCACGTCAGATCTGGAATTTGAAAAACTAAAAATAAACGTGTGTGTGTGTGTGTGTGTGTGTGTGTGTGTGTTGGCCTTGACCTCAGGGCCTGGGCTCTGTCCCTATAAACGTGTGTGTGTGTGTGTGTGTGTGTGTGCTGGCCTTAACCTCAGGGCCTGGGCTCTGTCCCTGAGCTTTTTCGCACAAGGCTGGCACTCTACAACTTAACCACAGCTCCACTAACAGCTTTTTGGTGGTTAATTGAAGATAAGACTCTCAAGGACTTTCTTGCCTGGGCTGGCTTTGAACCACAATTCCCAGATCTCAGCCTCTTGAGTTGCTAGGATGACAGGTATGAGTCACCAGAACCCACTGGCTTATGGATATACTTTAAAAATAAAACCCTTGGGGCTGGGAAGATGGCTCAGTGGTAGAGTGCTTGCCTTACATGCATGAGGCCAGGGGTTCAATTCCTCAGCACCATATAAGCAGAAAAAGCCACAAGTTGTACTGTGGCCCAAGTTGTAGAGCGCTAGCCTTGAGCTGAAGAGCTGAGGGACAGCACCCAGGCTGAGTTCAGGCTCCATGACTGACAAAAATAATTAAATAAAAAATGAATAAAACTCCTAAGTATATAAACAACATATTATTATCCAATCATGTGGTTGTTAAATCAGTAGAGATGAGCCTGCCTTGACTCCACCCCCTCCATGATTAAAAATAATATAAAACCTCTTAGCTGGGAAGGCAGGGTGGTACATGCCTGTAATCCCAGCTATCCCATTTACTCTGGAGGTAGAGATTGAGGCCACACTGGGCAAAAAGTTAGGGAGACCTCCCTCTCAATCAATGCCCCAAATGTAGTGGTGCAAGTCTGTGATCCTAGCTGTGGAGGAGGAGGTGGGAGACCCTTTTGGAAAAGTAAAGCCTAAAGGGTGAGGGGGTGTGGCTCAAGCGGTACAGTGCCTGTCTAGCAAACATCAGACCCAGAGTGTGAGCCCATACCACCAGTGTATATTAATAAATACATAAATAAATGGAAAAATACCCACAACGGGTGTGGACATACCTCAGTGGTAGAGAGCTTTCCTGGCATGCACAAGGCTCTGTGTGTGTGTGTGTGTGAGAGAGAGAGAGAGAGAGAGAAATATATATATTAAATACATATCTATATTTAAGAAAAAATGGGAAGGGCAGGGACCATGGTTTTTTTTGTTTTGTTTTGTTTTTGTCGATTGTGGGACTTGAACTCTGGGCTTGGGTTCTGTCCTTGTGCTCTTCAGCTCAAGGCGAGCACTCTACTGCTTGAGCCACAGCACCACTTCCAGTTTTCTAGCGGTTTATTGGAGATAAGAGTCTCACGAACTAGGGGCTGGGAAGGTGGCTCAGTGGTAGAGCGCTTGCCTTGCATGCCTGAGGCCCTGGGTTCGATTCCTCAGCACCACATAAGCAAAAAGAAAAAAGCCGAAAGTGGCGCTGTGGCTTAAAGTGGTAGAGCGCTAGCCTTGAGCTGAAGAGCTGAGGGACAGTGCCCAGGCCCAGAGTTCAGGCCCCACGACCGGACCCAAAAAAAAAAAAAAATTAAAAAAAAAAAAGTCTCACGAACTTTCCTGCCCGGGCTGGCTTTGAACCTCGATCCTCAGATCTCAGCCTCCTGAGTAGTTAGGATTACAGGCGTGAGCCAGTGGCGCCCCGGCTTGGGGACCATATATATATATATATTTTTTGGGGGGTCCGGTCCTGGAGCCTGAACTCTGGGCCTGGGCGCTGTCCCTCAGCTCTTCAGCTCAAGGCTAGTGCTCTACCACTTGAGCCACAGCGCCACTTCTGGCTTTTTTCTTTTTGCTTATGTGGTGCTGAGGAATCGAACCCAGGGCCTCAGGCATGCAAGGCAAGCGCTCTACCACTGAGCCACCTTCCCAGCCCCTTAGGGACCATGTTTTAAATGAAAAGAAATTAAGACGATGAGTTGCTTGAGAGCCAGGCACTTAGGCTCACACCTGTAATACTAGCTACTCACGAAGCTGTGATCTAAGGATCACTGTTCAAAGCCAACCCGAGCAGGGAAGTCGGTGAGACTTTTGGTGGTTGTAATTGGTTATAGAGCTCGAACTCAGGGCCTGTGTGCTGTCCCTGAGCTTCTTTGTGCTCAAGGCTAGCACTCTACCACTTTGAGCTACAACACCACTTCCGGTTTTTGAGTGGTTCATTGAGATAAGAGTCTCTGGAAGACTCTTCTGCCTGGGCTGGCTCTGAACTGAGATCCTCAGATTCCAGCCTTCTGAATAGCTAAGATTACAGGCATGAACCACCAGTGAAGGCCTGAAGGAACTCTTTTCATCACCTTAAGAGTATTCCCTGTTATTGGGGTCTTCTACCGTGGGTAAATTTTCGAAGTAAGAATTTTTTCTTTCTTTCTTTTTTTTCTTTTTCTTTTTTGCTAGTTGTAGGGCTTGAACTCAAGGCCTGGGCACTGTCTCTAAGCCTCTTTGTGCTCAAGGCTAGCGCTCTAACACTTGAGCCACAGCGCCACTTCTGGCTTTTACTGTGTATGTGGTACTGAGGAATCAAACTTCATGGGTGCTAGGCAAGCACTCTACCACTCAGCCACATTTCCAGCCCATGTTTTTGTTTTTTCAAATTATTTATATGGCTTCCATGGTGCCTTAGGAACAGCTTTTGTTCCTACACTGCTTTATCTGGCCTTCTCCCCTCCCCACATTCTTGTCATACTTCAGGGTTTCCTGGCCCCCAAATGAAGGCCCCACATGAGCCAGAGCTGCTGCTAATCATAGCCATGGGCTCCTAAAGACAGTTAAGGTTTGCATGGGCCCTCATCAAAGTTTACCAACACTGTGAGTACTGGAGTTGCTACATGTCCACAATCCCTCTCTCCCCTCCCACCTCTCTCTCTTCAGTACTAGGCTTTTTTTTTTGGTCAGTGGTGGAGCTTGAACTCAGGGCCTGGCACTTGCCCCTAACTTTTTCGCTGAAGGCTAGTACTCTACCACTTTGAGGTGCAGCACCACTTCCGGTTTTCTGGTCCTTCATTGGAGATTAGAGTCTCACAGACTTTCTTGCCGGGGTTGGCTTTGAGAAACAATGCTAGGGTTACAGGCATAAACCACTGGTGCCCCACTCCTAGGGTTTTTCTGTTTATTTGTGTTAGTCCTGGGGCTTGAACCTAGGAACTGGGCACTGTCCCTTAACTTTTTTTGTTTGTTTGTTTGTTTATGGGGCTTGAACTCTGGGCCTAGGCGCTGTCCCTCAGCTCTTCAGCTCAAAGCTAGAGCTCTACCATTTGAGCTACAGCACCACTTCCAGTTTTATGGTGGTTTATTGGAGATAAGAGTTTCATGGACTTTCCTGCCCAGGCTAGCTTTGAACTGCAATCCTCAGATCTCACCCTCCTGAGTAGCTAAGATTATAGGCATGAGCCACCGATGCCCATTTTGTCCCTTAGCTTTTTCAAGGTTGGCCTTCTATCATTTGAGCCACAGTTTCACTTCTGGCCTTTTCCTGGTCAATTGGCAGTAAGAGAGTCTCACGGACTTTCCCACCTGGGCTGGCTTTGAATTAGTGATCCTCAGATCTCAGCCTCCTGATCAGCTAGCATTACAGATGTAAACCACTGGCACCCGGCTTCTGTGTACAATCCTTCAAAGATTGTCAATGCCAAGCATGACTCTCATTCATTCCTGTTGGAACACAACTGGATTGACCAGGATAAAAACTGTGGGCCATTTCCTGTCACCCAAGAATTCCACTCCTATATGCTCACTCAAGAGAAATGTAGACCTATGTCCACATACACATTTGTACAAGATCGATCATAATTCTTTATTCATAATAGCTCCAAACTGGGAACAAACCAAATACTCATCATGAGAAGTGAATGAACACATTGTAATTTAGCTGTTGGATGGAATACTACTCAGCAAGGAAAAAAGAAAGGAATGAACTTCTGAAAGATACATCTAACAATGTGGATGAATCACGCAGACATTATGCAGAAGGAAGGAAGTGAGGTTGGGAAAATACATGCTCTAGTTCGTCATTCAGGGCCCAATCAGGAAACTGAAAGCATACAGTCATCTGAAATTAGAATGTTGAAATAAAGTAACTAATTTAAGAGGATTTGAGGAAAGGGATTGGCTGCTACAAAATAATGAGCGCATCAGGTATAATGCTGAGTGTGGTGGCAGCTGCCTGCAGTCTTGGCTACTTGGGAGATCAAGACAGGAGCAAAGAGTTTGGGGCCAATCTAGAAAACATAAACCCCAAAAGAAAAAGCAATTACACCGTTCCTTGTTCTGAGATTGGAAAGGACAGAATCAGGCTGAGATCCTGACTTTGCTAGAGAAGGCTTAGGCAACTGCACCAAAGGACCAAAGAAACCACGTGATGGAATATGCTGGAAGCCTGCTCTCTAAGAGGAGGTCCGGAAAAACGTTGCAGCTGTGATGTGCTGCTGCCGCCTGCTACTTATTGCAGAAGCCAGGTGCTGGAGAAACTTGTCCATGCTGCAGAAACCTCAGCCTGAAGCAGTTAGGATCATGGTTGGATCTAGGCTGGGGAAACAACTGCCCAGAAGCCCAGTCCCTGCCTCTGGCTCCCTCTACTGTATAAAAATGGTACTGCGACAGCTTGCTGAGGAAAAACACTTAAAGGGCCCTGCTCCAATTTCCAGGGCTTTTTTTTTTTTTTTTTTTTAACAGTGAAGCTATAAAGTGATGACTTGTACAACTCTAATAATTACACTTAGAGCCAAGCATGGTGAATCATACCTGTAATCTCAGCACTGAGGGGGAGACTGAGACAGGAGGATCAGGAGCTCAAAACCAGCCTGAGATGTATAGCAAGAGCTTGGTTAGATTTTGTTATTATTGTTGTTTTTGCCAGTCCTGGGATTTGAACTCAGGGCCTGGGCACTGTCCCTGAACTTCTGAGCTTCTTTTGCTCAAGGCTAGCACTCTACCACTTGAGCTACAGCTCCACTTCCAGCTTTTGGTTTATGTGGTACTGTGGAATTGAACCCAGGGCTTCATGCTTCATGCATGCAAGGCAAGTACTCTACCACTAAGACACATTCCCAGCACCCCTATGCCCCCCCCGTTTTTTTTTCTCCTTGTTCTGTTCCTGGGGCTTGAACTCAGGGCCTGTGAGCTAGCTGTCTCCTAGCTTTTTCACTCAAAGCTGGTATCCAGCCACTAAAGCCACTCCTCCACTTCTGTCTTTTTTGGTGGTTAAATTGGAGATAAGAGTCTCACAGACATTCCTGCCAGAGTTGGCTTCAAACCATGATCCTCAGATCTCAGTCTCCTGAGTAGCTAGGATTATAGGCATGCCCACTGACACCCAGCTGAGACTGTTTAAGGATATTGAATTTATAGGAGCAGAAAGCAAATCAGTGGTTGCCTTGGGCTGACTAGGAAGGGGAGAAGCTTTTGGAGGAAAGGTAATGTCCATGTCTTAAGAGATTAGAACTCATTGTACACATCTCATTGTACTCATTGTACATGTGCACATCTATTTTTTTGTCGGTTGTGGGGCCTGAACTCTGGGTCTGGGCACTGTCCCTCAGCTCTTCAGCTCAAGGCTAGTGCTCTACCACTTGAGCCACAGCACCACTTCCAGCTTTTTCTGCTTATGTAGTCTGAGGAATGGAACCAGGGCCTCATGCATACAAGACAAGTACTCTACCACTGAGCCACATTCCCAATCCACATGTGCACATCTTATTGGTCCAGACAGGCCCAGTGGGACCAGCTCCATGCTTTTCTTTTCTTTTTTTTTTGCCAGTCATGGGGCCTGAACTCTGGGCCTGGGTGCTGTCCCTCATCTCTTCACCTCAAGGGTAGCGCTCTACCACTGGAGCTACAGCGCCACTTCTGGCTTTTTCTGCTTATGTGGTGCATGCAAGGCAAGCACTCTACCACTGAGCCACCTTCCCAGCCTCCATGCTTTTCTTACTTGATTGTTCTGCCTCGGAGAATTAAGGTGGAATGAGTATCTCAGTATGCTTTGTGGTAGCTAGTCACTGAAGGGTGTATGTATGTATGTTTGTACGTATGTTTATATTTATGTATTTATTGTTCAGGTTCTGGGGCATGAGCTCAGGGGCTGGGCACTGTCCCTGAGCTTTTTCTCTCAAGGCTGGCATTACCACTTGAGCCACAGCTCCATTTCCAGCTTTTTTGGTGGGTAATTGGAGATACATGTGAGACTCTCATGGACTTTTCTTCCATCCTCATATCCAGCCTCCTAAGTAGGATAACAGCTGTGAGGCCAGTAAAAGTATCTTTTAAGTTGCTTCTTAACAAATCTTCAGATGTTCATGGTCAGTAAAGTGCTCAAATAGATGGTTAATAAATTGCTCAGATAGAAACTGATTGGCCTGCTGGGGACAGAGAGACATTGGAGAGGGGGCTTTTGCCAGTAGAAGGGGAGAAGCAGAAGATCGATCGCTCTCTCTCCTCTCTCTCAACCATTGCTCACGGCCAGATGAGTCAGGTCCGTGGCTCTATAGACCACGGCACCCCATCCGGTGGCCCGAGAACCTGCTGGAGAGGCCAAGTGACCATGGGCAGCCCGCGCTGACCCGCCCACCCTTCTCCATTCTGCAGGACCCCGGCGGCCGGGACGATGGGCGCCGGGCCCTCGCTGCGGCGGCAGCAGCGGCCGTCCATGGAGCCGCCGGTGGCCCTGGACTCGCTGCCCCCAGAGCTGCTGGTGCAGGTGCTGAGCCACGTGCCGCCTCGCGCCCTGGTGACCCGCTGCCGCCTGGTGTGCCGAGCCTGGCGCGATGTGGTGGACGGCCCCTCCGTGTGGCTGCTGCAGCTTGCTCGAGACCGCAGCGCCGAGGGCCGCGCGTTCTACGCCCTGGCCCAGCGCTGCCCGTCCCAGGGCGAGGACCAGGAGGAGTTCCCGCTCTGCGCCCTGGCGCGCTTCTGCCTGCGCGCGCCGCTGGGCCGCAACCTCATCTTCAATTCCTGCGGCGAGGGTGGAGCCTGGGGAGGGGGGGCGGGGCTGGGGAGGGCGATGAGGGGCGGTGGATGGGCGTGGTCAACTCTTGGAGCGATGTGACCAATAGGAGGAGTCGGGGGCTCAGCCTAGTGGAGTGGGCGTGTCCATCCCTGTAGAGATAAGCAATCGGAAGGGCCAGGGGTGCAAGCTGTGTGTGGGGGCCTAGCGGACTCCAGGAAAGATGTCACTAATGAGAGGAGCCTGGTGGATCAGGTTGAATGAGTGGGCGTGGCCAGCCCTAGAGAGAGAACCAGTGGAAGGAGCCAATGGGTGAGCAAGCAGAGTGGGCGGGGCACTGCAGGGGGTGGAGTCTGGCGCCGGATGGAACTACTGGGTCCAGGATCTGGTCTTGGTTATCGGGTACACAGGATGCTAGGAAGCCTCGAGGAGGATTGGGGAGAAGCCTGTGGGTGAGGCAGATGGGGAGCGCTGTTGAGGGAGTTTGGCAGGCGGTGTTTGTCTTATCTTCAAACTTCTTGTGTTTTCAGAGGGCTTCAGAGGCTGGGAGGTGGAGCACGGTGGGAATGGCTGGGCCGTGGAAAAGAACTTGACACTCGTACCAGGGGCTCCTTCTCAGACCTGCTTTGTGACTTCCTTCGAGTGAGTGTCTTATCCTCATGCCTGGGGTAAGGGTCCTACTTTTGGGTTCGAATATTTGCTTTTACCTCCCTTCCTTTCACCTTCCTCCTTCATTCAGCAAATACTTGTCGAGGGTCTGTCAGACATCTGGATCCTGGCACTGTTTTGTATGCCAGAGGTACAAGGGAAGATTGACAGCTTATTTCTGTGGTTTTTTTTCCTTTCCTCTCTGGTACTGTCAATTGAACTCAGAGTGCTGAACTACTTGACTGATACTTCTGGCCCCTGGCAATTTTTTGTTTAATTTTGCTATGCAGAAGCTTTTTAATTTGATGAAGTCCCCAATCCTGTGTCCTTTTATTTTGAGGGATACAGCAGTCCCTTGGAACAGACCAAGAAGAAAATTAATACATAGATTTTCCTCTCTTTCCTCCCTCTCATCTCTGCCAGAGCTTGCCATTGGCTGACCCATCAGGAAACAGAGGGAAGGGAGACCAGGTCATTTAGGCCATGCCTGTGCTTTGGAAGCTTTTTAAACTCTCTGCTCACTGTGTCCTCCTCTATCTGTATTCACATCTGGGTCCCCACATACATCAGAGGCAGGTAAACATGGAAGTCGGCCTCTAGGAGTGAGAGCAGGGATAGGAAAGGGGATCCAAGAAGCCACGGGAAGATGCACCATGTTCTTGTCCTACACAGCAAGTCCTGAGTGGCTCCTTTAGACAGAGTGATCAGGCTTCTGGAGGAGGTGATTTTTGGCGGTGAATGAATACCTGGATTAAGCACAGCTCTCTTCCCAGATGGTGTTTCAAGAGGCAGCTTGTAGACCTAGTGATGGAAGGGGTATGGCAGGAGCTGCTGGATAGCGCCCAGATCGAAATCTGCGTGGCTGACTGGTGAGAAGCAACAGCAGTACGTTGCTGTGGGGGCTCAGCTCCATCCCCTACCAGCATCTTGGTACTGAACTAATACTGAGCACCTTTTATGGGGGAAGTGCTGGTGAGTGCCCAGCCAGGGAGGGGAGGAACCTTGGTGACCCCAGAGCCCCACCCCACACTCCTCTTCACCCCTTCCCAGCAGGCAAAGCGTCCCCCCCCTCCCATTGTCCACAGGGCTACTCACTGTCTTGATAGTTATTACCTAGGCTCAGCAGAGACTGTGAAGGCTTGAGGATTCCAAGACTTCTAAAAGGTCAAAACCACTATGCCCTGAAAATTGACGCTCCAAGGGGCACAGCTGGGGTGGAGGAGTGGCTTCAGAGCTTAGGATGAGCTTCCAACAAGCTCCCTTCTTCCAGTGCCTGCAGGAGCATCCCCAAAGCATTTTTTTCCTTGAACTCTGGTTACTTCTGCAGATCACCAAGCTTCCCTACCCCACTCCATGAGTATGAGGTCCTGCTCCAGAGGGCCTTATGGACTGTCCCCTGAGTTAGCGGTCCAGGATCTGTGAAGCTCCTCCCCTGGGTGTGCCCCCCCATGCTATACCACGCCCCCTGGCAGCCATCCAATGTCTGAGGCCTCTCTGCTGGGTGTGGCTCCACCCAAAGTCATACCCCTTAATCTAATCATCCAATGTCTACAAGGCTCCTCCCCTGAGGGCGGCCCCACCCAGAGCACCATAGCCACTCAAGAGTCTAGCCATCCAATGCCTGTCAAGTTCCTCCCTTGGGCGTGGCCCCACCCCATAGCGCCTCAGCCACGAGCCCAGACATGGCCATCCAGTGCCAGCCAGATTCCTCCCCTGAGAGACAGCTCTGCCCCACAGCGGGGGCTGTCCCCTAATCAAGCTTCCCAGGCTTATCTCCCCACTCTGCCCCACCTCCTAGGACCAAGGTCTGCACCTCAGAGGTACTTAGAACTCACCAAATGTAGTTAGGTAGGGCCTTCATTCTCATTCAGAAAAGCCCAACCCTCAGCCTACCTCCTCCCAACCCAGAGAGCTGGCTGGGTGGCAGGGGCACCCAGGCTCACTGCCGCCTGGCAGGTGGGGTGCCCGAGAGAACTGCGGCTGCATCTACCGACTTCGCGTCCGCCTCCTGGACATGTACGAAAACGAAGTGGTCAAGTTCTCGGCCTCACCCAACCCCGTCCTTCAGTGGACTGAGAGGAGCTGCAGACAGGTGGGTCTGGAGAGCCTTGCTTGCTTATCCCTGGCCAACTTGCTCATCCCTGACCCACTCCTCAGGCCCCCTCCCATCCTGTCACCTTTCTGGGCCCAGATCCTGGCTCTCATCAGTGCTGGGTATCTCTAGTAATAGCTCTGCTGATTGTCCAGTCTTTAATTGCATGACAGATTCATTGTTTTACTAAAACAACCCAGGTGTTCAACATTTATTAACTGCTGTGTATGCGGAACACTGCTAAAAGTGTTGGAATGCATTGGTAAACTAAAGCCTGTCTCCATTCTTAAGTTGAAGAAACAGAGGCAAATGGAGGGCAGCAAATGATTAAGGTCACAGTTAGGTGCACAGGGCTCCATCCAAGTCCAGGCTGGCTCCCAAGCTTGTTGTTGTCATGACTACTTGAGATAAACTTTTCCATGGCTTCTTGTTTCCACTCTTGCTCTCCTTCGCTCACTACCCCCAAAACACAGATACAGCATCCAAAAGATCCCATTTAAAAAACAAAAAGGCCACAGTATCATGTGGGGCTGGGCATGATGGCTCCTGTCTATAATTCCAGCTACTTGAGTGTGGAGGAAGGAAGATCATAGTCTGAAGCTGGTCTGGGCAAAAGTAAAATCCTAGCCAGGCACTGGTGGCTCATGCCTGTAATCCGAGCTACCCAGGAGGCTGAGATCTGATGATCACAGTTCAAAGCCAACCCAGGCAAGAAAGTCCTTGAGTCTTTTATCTCCAATAAACCACCAGAAAATCAGAAGTGGCGCTGTGGCTCAAAAGGTAGAGCACTAGCCTTGAGCTGAAGAGCTCAGGGACAGTGCCCAGGCCCAGAGTTTAAGCCCTACAACTGACAAAAGAAAAAAAAAGTAAATAAGCAAGGGCTGAGGGAGGGAGGGTTGTGGTTCAAGTGATAAAGAATCTGCCTAGTAAGTGCAAGGCCTTGAGTTCAAATACTTGCACTGCCCAAATAACAAAACCTTACAACTTTCTCATCACCACCTGTTATGCAACCACAGGGGAAATAAAGGGGCTTTTGCTGCTGATCTCTTTTACAATGAAGAGAATTTCACAGGTTCTCCCTCTCCCATAGGTCTCTCACGTCTTTACCAACTTTGGCAAGGGCATCCGCTATGTGTCCTTCGAGCAGTACGGCAGAGACACACGCTCCTGGGTGGGGCATTATGGAACCCTAGTGACCCATTCCAGTGTCAGGGTCAGGATCCGTTTGTCTTAGCCTTTTGGGACCCACTGCCCCACCCTGATGGACCATCATCAGAATCAAGCATGGCTTTACAGCCCAGAACATGACATTCTACATGTCCCATGTACCCCATTTGCTGCTGCTTCAGCATGGTGACCTTCGTGTTGTGTGACAAACAAGGACCAACCAGGCAATGGGTAGCTTCCTCCTCTTCCCAGAGGAAGGAAAGTCATATGACTGGGACATTTCTTTGATTCCTGGGCCTGGAAGTTGTTTCCTAGGGGTCAGTGGGGGTAGGTTGAGGCAAGAAATCAAGGCTAGCCGGGCATGGTGATACATGCCTGTAGGCCCAGCACTTGAGGATCTGGGAGCTTTGAGGCCAAGTTGGATTACATAGTACAAAGTCTTTGGGATTTAGCTGTGGGGTCTAGTACCTGGCCACCTCTGGGCAATGTCTGTGTTCACTGCTCCAGTACCTCCTCTTTGACCAGATTGGTACTGTGTCTCAGAGACCAGATTCTCCCTCACCTCCTGCCAGGAAATAATACCATCCTTTTTTGCCCTGTATCCCATCCTCCCAGAGCAAGGTATGCTGTTAGGGGAGGCTCACCTCCCCTCCTTTCTGCCCAGCTGGGCATGGCCAAGCAACTAGCTTAATAAAATTGGTGCTAAATATGAAGCAACGGCCAGCTTTTATCTGTAATTAGTGTGCTTTGCCTCCAGCCCAGGTGATTGTCCTCTAAGACCAGATAGTTCTCAAGTTTACAATCAGGAAGTCAGGCTTCATGCTGATCTGGGAGAGATGGAGGCTAGCTCCCCAAACATAATGATGGCTATGATACACAAAGGGACTCCAAGGCCAGTCCTTAGGGGTCTTCCTGGTACAATGTCATCCAGACCCCCCTCCTCCCCCAGGTCACCAGCCAGTAAGCAGAGGACCACAGTGGGCAGCAGAACTCAGTGCCAGATGCACAACTCCTACAGTTTCTTACAATGTGGTCAAGTCCAGGATTACAAGAGGCCAGGATTACTATGGAAGCTATTTTCCAGGGGAGAAACCAGCTCACAAGGGGAAGCATACAGCCCAATTACAAGGTAATCAGGGGAGCAGAGCTGAGACTTGAACCTAGTTGTGTGTGATAATATCCAAGAACAGGGCCAGCCATGATGGCATATACCTATAATCTCTGCACTCCAGAGGCTGAGACACCTTGGGTTACAACTAAAAACCCTGCCTCACCAGACACTGGGTGCCTGTGGCTAAGCCTCACTATTCAAGAGGCTTGAGATCTGAGGATCATGGTTCCAAGTCAGCCCCAGGCAAGAAAGTGTGAGACTTTTACCTCCAATTAACCACTAAAAAGAGGGAGAGCTGTGGCTTAAGTGGCAGAGCCTTGGGAAGAAAAGTTCAGAGATAGCACCCCCCAGGCTCTAAGTTCAAGCTCCAGGACCAATACACACCAAACAAAAAACATACGAACAAAGCCCTCAGGCCTAAATCAGACACCCCTCGATCCTTTCAATAACCCCCTCTAGGTTAGTTACAATTTTCCAGATGGCCATGGCTTTGAGGTAGGGCTTTATTTGGCCCCGCCCTTCACCTGTGGGATGGGTCCAGGCCACAAGGCATGGAAATGCTTTTCACCAAACTCCACAGCCACTGCCAGTGGAACTTTTTTGGAAGAAACAGCAGAGGTCACAAGAATACTGCACAAGGAATTGACAGCTCTGGTGACATGTTTATTAGACCGTGGGCTCAGATGCTGGCAGAAAAGTGGCCTGTCCCAGAAAAAGAAATTGTCCATGCCCCCAACACAGAAGCTGTGGCTGTTGGAAGTGGGGCCTTCTTTTCCAATTCATCCCCAGAGTCTCAGCAGGCTAATGCCAGTCCTGATGATGAATCACCAATGGAGTATGAACCCATGAGTAAGATTGGCCACGCAAACCAACACGTTGCCCGCATTACTTCTTCTTCTGCACATGGCCACAGTCGTACTTGCCCCGCACCACTTTGAGCTTGACTCCAGGCAGGTCCTGGGTGCGGCCACCTTCCACCAGGACCACCTGGTGCTCCTGCAGGGTGTGGCCCTCCCCGGGGATGAAGCAGACAGCCTCTTGGCCAGTGCTGAGTCGGACTCGACAGCACTTGCGGTTGGCTGAGTTGGGTTTCTTGGGCTTGCGGATGAAAGTGCGCAAAACCACGCCTTTCACCTGTGGCCGTCCCTCTGTGGGCCCAAGTCGCTGAGGTGGCCTCTTAGGGGGCCCCAGACGATGCATCTGGTTCAGGGTAGCCATGCAGCGTGTGACCCAGAACCGGGGAACCAGGGCCAGGCCTGGAGAGACACAATGGAAGGGCAGAACAAGGTGATTATTCCAGGCACAAATAAGAGCATTTGCAGTGGCTATGTGACAATGGCTCATGCCAGTCATCAGTGATCTGAGGATCACTGTTCCAACCCAGCCCAGGCAGGAAAGTCCCTGAAATTCTTATCTCTAGTTAGCCAGCAAAATCCTGGAGCTGTGGCTCAAGTGGTAGAGTCCAAGACTTACCACTAGTCTGCACACATGCGCTCCAGCATGCACGCGTGCACACACACAAACAGACCCCTCCCCCCTCCAAACCCAAGATCTCTTCATTGTCAGGCAGGCCCTCTAGCCCTTTGAGTCATGCTCTAGCTTTTTTTTTTTGGGGTCCAGTTGTGGGGCCTGAACTCTGGGCCTGGGCGCTGTCCCTCAGTTCTTCACCTCAAGGCTAGTGCTCTACCACTTGAGCCACAGCGCCGCTTCCGGCTTTTTTCTTTTTGCTTATAGTGGTGCTGGGGAATCAAACCCAGGGCCTCATGCATGCAAGGCAAGCACTCTACCACTGAGCCACCTTCCCAGACCCTATTTGTATTGTTTTTGAGACAGTGTTGTTAACTTAGCCAAGGCTGGCCTTTATTGCCTCCCCCTAATAGCTGTGATTACAGCCATGCACCACTATGCTCAGTCCAGGAGAAATATCTAAGAAGTCAATCTATTCCAGAAGTGCCTGGCACATAGATGGAAAATACCACTCGAATAGGTGACTAAAACACCTTTGCTTGGGGAAATCTCAGCCAGGGAGGTATCTCATACTCAGTGAAGGTACAGAATCGTTTCGGCAGCCCAAACCCACTTACCGTGAGTTAGGGACGTGTGGAGACCACGGAGAAGACCAGGCCAGGGCATCCCGCTACCTGGGGCGTCTCTGTTAGGGGACAACAAACTCAGAAAGGAAGAGAGGTCAAATCCTCCCCGTCCCACTCTCAGATTTCTGGTGAAAGGTAAGGAACTTTCTTGTAAGAGTCTAATTGCAACCCTCAATCGATGCTCTGGAGTACACAGGACACGACTGTCCTCGCCCCCAGGAAGTAAAAGAAACGCGGGAGCCGGAGGGAAGCTCCTCCGACCTCTACCACCCCAGCAGGATCTACAGACACGCTGATTCCTGTGTCCAGTCCCTTCCGGGAGTTCTCTGAACACGGATTGGCTATTTCTTTATCTGCGTCACTGATGAGGCGGGACGCAGTCAACGATTGGGCAGCAAAAGAGTCTATTTCGGACAACTTGTCTCTTTTCCGTGATCGGATTGGTTCACCCCTCCAAAAAACCCAGGCTGCTTTGCAATTGGTCTAAAGGAAGCGTGGGCGGGACAAAAGGGTGGGACTGAATTCCCCATGCAAGATGGCTGCGTCCATGGCTCGGCGTTTATGGCCTCTCTTAGTTCGTCGAGAGTTCCGGCCCGGGGGAAGTTGCATGTGCATTCCGAATGCAAAGAGAAGTTTTGCTACGGAGAAACGGCAACGGAACCTCTTGTACGAGCACGCGCGCGAGGGGTACAGCGATCTGCCTCACCTGGACATGGAGCCTCTGTGCGCATGCCCAGAAGAGGCGGCGCGCTTACTGGAGCTCCGCAAGGGGGAGCTGCGACCGGCCGACCTACCCGCGATCGTGAGTGCGCATGCGCCAGGCGGAGACGCTGAAGTTGATCCAACGGAGTTTGCCGCTCGCACACTGGCTTGGGGCCAGGGGTCCAGGGAGAGAAAAGTATTCGGAAGAATTTTAGGTTTTTTCCCCAAGTTTTCCTTGTTTTCTTAAGTGCATGGCACCCGTTTTTGTGCCAGTGGTCCGCTAAAGACCTCCTAGGTGTTTTGTGTATCATTTTTCATTCTTTCCTTTTTTTTTTTTCTTTTCTTTTTTGCCAGTGCTGGGACTTGAACTCAGGGCCTGGGCACTGTCCCTGAGCCTCTCTGTGCTCAAGGCTAGCACTCTACCACTTGAGCCACAGCGCCACTTCAAGGTTTTTCTGTGTATGTGGTGTTGAGGAATCGAACCCAGGACTTCATGCATGCTAGGCCAGCCCTCTTCCATGAAGCCACATTCCCAGCCCTGTGTTGTGTATCTTAAACACCCATTTTTGCATCTTTCATAATGTATGCTGGGTGCTCTGGGAGCTTATCAGGTACCAGGAGCCCTCCATGCTCCAGACACACCCTAAGACTGCAAAATTCAAAGATTTGCCAGGCTCACCCTAAGACGGCAAAGAAAATTGGGCAGCAAGGCCGGGCACCGTTGGTTCACACCTGTAATTCTAGCTGTTCAGGAGACTAAGATTTGAGGATTGGGGGCAGGAAAGTCCAGGGACCCATCCAGGGGCCAGCAGGAGCAATTCCACCTGTTCTTACTCTTCCCTCCTTTGTACATATAGATTTCCACATGGCAAGAGCTGCAGCAGCTGCAGAAGCAGATCCGGAGGCTGGAGGCAGAGAAGGAGGCTGTGGCTGAGGCTGTGCGGAGCCTGCTGGTGAGCTCAGTGCTAAAGGCTAGTGTGGTAGTGTTTGCCTGTCATCCTCAGTGACATGGGGAGACCCAAGAAGGAGGATCATAAATTTAAGAAGTGAGAAGAAGCTGGCCACCGGTGGCTCATGCCTGTAATCCTAGCTACTCAGGAAGCTGAGATCTGAGGATCACTTTTTGGAGCCAGCCCTGGCAGGAAAGTCTGTGAGACTCTTACCTCCAATAAACCACCAGAAAACCACAAGTGGCGCTGTAGCTCAATGTGGTAGAGCGCTCACCTTGAGCAAAAAAAGCTCAGGGACAACACCCTGGCCCCCAGTTCAAGCCCCAAGACTGACAAAGAAAAAAAAGAAATGACATGATGAAAGAGTCCCTCTCTCAGCATGGAAGTGGCACTGAACACACACTGAATGTTACTCTTTTTAGGTTATCTGGCCTCCTAGCTTGCCCAGCAGAGAAACTGAGGCACGGTGTAGTAGATGGAAGGCTGACTACCACATTCATAGTACTAGGAGATTTAGATCTCCTAACCCCATTTGACCTTTGCCCTTCACTTTGCTCCTCCCCCTCCCCAGTTTATCATCCTGACTCTCTCCTCCTTTTTCTTTCCAACCAGGTAAACAACAACAGCAGCCAAGTGCAGAAGGTACTCAGAGAGTTGATATCTTGTCCCCAGCTGACGAGGGCAGGGAGAATTGGTCACGATTCTTTCCACCCTAAATGACTCAAAGTACAACTCAAATTTAAGGGGAAAGAAAAACCAGGCTTCCTTAGTTCATGAAACCAAAACTGGCTTTAGGTACAGTTAGATCCAGGTCCTGGCCCAATGCTTGGTTCCAGTTCCCTGTCATGTTT